ATGCAGTTCGTAATATTAATTCTAAGGTGATATTAATCTCTGCAGAGTTCAATAGATAAATATGTTCATTTATTTGTGTGTTCATTATTAAGTTCAGTTCTTAGCAACTTTCTATAAGCTTTAGTTTCAAACTAAGAACATGCAGTAAGGTGTAACAAGTCTCGTTTACCCGGACGCTTAAAAAGTATAGCTTTTAGTGGGGCTCGTATAAAGAAATTCTTAACATACGTACGTTGCTTCTGTTTGCAATAACAATATTTAACATTATCGTCTCATACCTGTGAGGGACTGTCTTCACTTCTAACTTCATCTCTCAGAAATCTCATACTGGCTACTTTTACATCTTCCCTGTTTCCGTTATCAGTATCTAAGTCCCCCTTTCAAATTTAGACATTTTATTGAATTCGTCATAACACATCCTTCTTCATACTTTGAGCGGAGTTTACACTTGTGTTTCCATTTAATTCGCAGTGCGACCACTCATAAAGTTGAACGCAAATTTAATTTCCCGGCTGGCGGCTGGAACTGCATGACTCACCGCCAAGCACTATAAACTTTTCACGGCAGGAGTCAAGTGTCACTCCATAAAAAATAAACCTTCCTATATTATGGCACTTCATGTCGACATCTTGAAAGTGAGAATTTTGTTAAACTTTATCAGTGAACTTTATCACTTTACTTCTGTAACCTACATTCTCCTTTACACATTTAATGTTCATTTATTTCCACATACAAATGTTGTAATAACATTTATTTTTATCGTGTATGTTTTTGCCTTGTATCTCTGCAACATTTTATTTCCTTTACTTATATTTGGCTGTAAATCATCTTCGTTGTATATAAATATATATATAAATGTATATATAAATTATATAATAATATATAAATATATATATAAATGTTAGATCACAGTGTGAAGTGAAAATTGTTATCTTCTGATTTAATATCTTATTACATTTCTATAGCCCACAGGTTAAATATCAATTTGGTAACTCTGATCCCTCTCGTAAACCTGTGATTAAAAGGAAAAATTTTGTATTTTAAATTAATATTGTTATTCCTGCTTCAATTATTAAGTCCCTTGTATATTATAGGCCTGTGGTTTCTCACATAGTTGCTACCGTATGCCTTCTAGTGGTTAAAAATTCTCTTCAATTTTTTTTTCACTGTAAATACTGAGCTCCAACATGACCTTTTATGTTATTATTATACTAGTTTCAACAAACGTTGTTAAATATTTGAGCACAGTAGTGAACATTCGGATTCTAAGAGACGCAAGAAACTTCTTGGTCAGCTGAGTGACTCTTTGCTTCACAATAACCAGGTCTGCTGCGCTCCATACATTATATTCGATGAGGAATTCAGTAAAGTCTCTTTTCAGTGCATGTAACTCTTGTGTGGGAGTCCCTAAGGCCACCTCGATCTTGTTCGAGATCAAAGCTTATTCGTGCGAACAATAATTCAGTCTGTGAGCGTCGGTGCTGCGGGCTATTTTGAAGCCTTTTGTTGTTCAAAGCGAAATTGTTGCTTTTTAACACACTTTTTTTAATCTCCGGGCGTTTTGAAAGTAGCATTTTGAATCAAAACTGAAATTTAAACAAAATTATTTACGTATATATTTAAAACATTCCTTTTACTGATATTTACTATATATATTACATTACATAGGTGCGTAATTCAATCAAATTCCCTTTATTTTTAATAAAACCTGTAACAAAACTTAAGAGCTTAATGGATGTCATAAATGTTATAGCTTATTTTTTACACGAAAGTAGCAGATTTTAAAAGTCAAATCATATAGATTCTTCTCATTTATCCCTCTTTCTTTCCTTGTTTCCTTCTTCTTGTATTTATTTAATTTCTTTATGTTCAGTATTCAGTTGAAAATTGACTATAACCAAAATGGTCTCGCCGTAGCTCAGGCTGCTTAGTGCCAAATTCGTACTGTATAAACACGGTTTCCATCCAGGGTGACTTGGACAAAGTGGCACTAAAATAGCCTTCTCCCCTATTTCTTCGGTCACCCCCGTCTAATCTTCATTCCACCACTGCTCCATGCTCATCTCTCACCGACCCATAAGCTGTGTCGTAGCCCTGACATTAGAGCGTTATCATGCCCTTGTTCCGAAGTTAAGTCTTCATCCTTGTCTCGACACGAAGCTCGTCTACGAATAAACGGAGCTACGTTTTGCTTAACCAACATATATTTATATCTTCGTATTAATTTCCAGTTGTGTTTACTTGAAACCAACACGTAACTTGATGATAAATTGAGATACTAAATTTCATTAATATCCGTTTATCAAGACAATATATTCGGGTAGATGGACGGCAACAGAAAATCTATCAGATGCTCATAAAATGAATGTTCGTGGTTGAGTTAACAGTTCTCGTTAAAAATTTGGGGATTTCCAGGTTTGATTCCAATTTCTGAGAACTTGTATCCTTGAGTTTCGAAGACTGGTTTGAGCATTTGCAGTTTTCCTCTCGTCTGACGTTGATGAAGTGAAGACCCATAACATTTTTTTTCTAGACGTTCATTAGAGACTTTTCCTTTGTGATATTAGGTACCAGATTCGAAATTTACTTGTAAAAGTAGAAATTCAACAGTTAATTATAAATGTATTGAGACTACGCGCCTTCATTGTTCAGAAATAATAGTTCACGAACTACAAAACTCTCCAAGGACAGTCCCTGATTGGCTTCAAATTGAACAATACTTTAGGCACAAAATAATTTTGTCCTCAGATCTAATTAAGACTAACGCGTCAAGATACTGAACATTTAATACTTCAAGAGTCTGCACTTTATAAAATGGGTCGTGTCTTCGTATCTGGGGAAAACTGCCTTCAGTCTGGAACTTCGAGGTCTTTATTTTTCAACATTTGTTCGGTAATGTCATCATACAAAGAGAAATGTAGCCATAAAAATATGCGATAAAATTTACTAAGTGTTCATCAGTTTTTTTAAATACATAAAACCCGAAATAAAATTTACAGACCGGCAGTGGATCGCTTACCATAGGTTTTATCACAACATCTAAAAGACAAGGACATCGATATTTTCATAAAACCGTATTTTATATTACAAGAGAGTCTTCTGTGCTTGCGAGAATTTTACGACGCTGTAGAATTTGATTCTCATTGTGTTGAAGAAGTAGCTAACAGTTCAGGTGTTTTTAAATTAACTTATTTTATTTATTCTCAGTAACTGGGTAGCCAGTAACAAATGAGGTAATATTTCCATCTTTACCCTTTGTGAGCTCATTTGTAGAGAAAAAAGATTATTCTCAATTAAATGGGTAAAATTTCTACAGACAGAGATAAACTTTATCTAAACTATGAGATGATAAAGTTGCGTCATATTGTGATAAATATATATTTGTTTAAATCTTGTCAGTCTAAT